TGTGGTCTCATAATTACATTTTCACTTCCATATAACCTTTGGATAAGTATGAATATTTTTGGGAGAATAGGGGTTCTATGCTTGGATGTTGCATGCTACTAATGTCAATGGATGGGAGTAAATTGATTTTCTTACCGCTCTTGCATTATGTATGAACTAGTGTCTTCATCCCAGTGTGTGTATATGTAAACCTGGTCTCATAAAATGCTATTAAAAAGGTACCTGTACAGACATTTGTGTTCCATTTTACATGATATCCACATAGGAACCAGTTGTATTTCTGTTGTTTTGCCTTAATGGTTTGTGGAGGTTATGTATAAAATATATATTCTCAGTTATTGTTTGCACAAGTTTTATTCCCAACTTCATCTTGAGAATTTCCTGAACAAGGGTGAGGCCATTGATGTTCTCATGCTGTCACTGACTTCTTTGTGCTTTAGAATACATTTTGGTTTGTCATTGCTTCTTACAATTGAAAGTAAAGTCTTGAATTTATTTCAGTAACAGCAAACACTTGTGAGATGTTGGAACATAACAAAAGTAATTTTGTTTCTGAACATGTAGTAAAAAACTGTGACTCATTGTTGTATGCCAAGCAAGTGTTTCTAATGTCTTTATGAACATGTTTGCTGGTTCTTTTCTTACATATGCTGTAGTAGCAAAGTTAATTTCTGTGTAAGAACATGCCCTCAGATGAAGAGGTAAGATGTAAAATTTGTGCTCCTTTCCTAAAAAATGTGTTCTCTATCAGAAGTTAATGCTAAGTGGTCACACTAAAATTAATTTTTAATTGAATGTTCTTTTTCTTAATGTGGTTCATGGTTCCTTACTTAACCCCACACTTTGTTTCCTTTCTATCCATAAAAGTAATTTATCATTCATAACATAATAATATAATTATTATGTATTGAAATTTTAATCTGGTTTCTACAGTCATAATGTAAGCCCATGCCATAGCTCAGTCAGTCAGTTGCTGGCTTTACAACATGGAGACCTCTATTTCAGCAGTACATATGGGATTTTAGATGGATGAAGTGGCACTGGGACAGCTTTTTGCCCAAGTTCTTTACTGTTCCCCTATTGTCATTCCACCACTGCTCCATATTCATTCATGTATCATCTGGGGGCTGGGAAATGAACCCCATTGGTGGCAACAGTTTCATAGAGAGTCTTTCCCCCTTTGCAACAGTAGTATCAAGCCAATGTAACTCCAACAGGAAGCAAATACAGTTTGTCAGTAACTTTACAGGTTTAACTCTTCATCTTTTCAGAAATGCCATGGTGATTGCACCATTCTTCTAAACACAAATTAAGTGTCACTTTAAAAGCTCTGCTTCTTCTTATACTGACCTTGTACTCTGTATGAGAATAAACATTCAAAATCATGACCAAAAGATGCTAGATGTTAGAACCTGTTTTTGTCTTGTGCTTGAATAGCTTCTCCTCTTCCCCCACTATTTCTGGCCATTCTTGGAAATATTGTTTTGGTACCAGTATACTTATTTTTTCATATTCTGTTCTTGTAACTTGAATGGAAACATTGTCTTAAATTGGAATCATGTATTCAGATATGTCTGTATCAAATGTGAGATTGTGTTCAGTCATGATATGTCAAGTGTGTTCTATGAGAAACATTGTCTTCAGGATTAAAATGTGATTTTGTTGTAGGAGGCCCATCCCTTGCCGGCAACTCTGTGGTGAGTGGTCTTGTTCCCAGCTCTCCAATAATCTCTCCTGGAACAGTTCCACTCTCAGCTGGGGCCATGCAGCCCTAAGCAGCATTCAAACACTGGCGGTAGCAGTCGGTTATAGCTCATGTGTCCAGTGCAGTCATCGATAAAGAATATTACCCATCAGACTTGTTCAGCTTGTGGCACCATCTTTTGGCAGCCATCATATTCTTTTCCTGCCTTTGATTTGTTTTTGTTTTGTTTCATTCTGTCTTTTTTTATTTCTGTTTGAAAGTAACTTTTCGGTTATGAGTTCATTCGTGATAGACCATTGGAATTGGAAATGATTTAAATAAAGCAAAATAAAATTACCTTTTAAGGTTTCCACATACTGTAGATTTATTCTAAGAATCTTAAACTAAAAGAATTATTAAATCTGTTTAGTCAGAAAGAAAACTGGAACATCTCTGTGAAAATGTGTGAATGTTTATGAGATTATGAGTATGTTATTGTATCCATGAAGAAGTGACAGTGCAGTGTGTGACTAGTACATATATATATATATATATATATATGTTTGTGTTTTCCTGATGCATCTGCCAGTTGCAAGTGGCGGGCAAATGAAGCTGTCACAGAGAAGTGAAAGACAGGCAAGCAATTGCAACATGTGGACTGGCAATAATTTCTTTCACCTTCCCTCGCCTTACATGAATATTTAGTTCTGATTTCATTTATTGTGAGTGAATGGAAGCAAGAGACTATAACCAAA